AACTCGGGATCCCATGCATACCAGGTAAGCCCTCTGTAACTGAGGTATATTCCCAGCTCAAGACCTTTTTTTCTTAACATCATTCAAAAGTGTTTCCTTGCTAGGTATGTACTTTTTTATTCTTTGAGAGTCAGACTATGAAGCTGACATGTCCCAGAGGTGGCATAAAGGTCACTGTTCTTCACAGGGCAAGGCAGGCAGAAAGAGAGGGTGAAATCATTCTCCGCAGCTATTTCCTCCCAAGCCCAACTGCACACGCAGGAGCAATATGTCAGCTTGCTCCGGGTTAACTGGCATGATCGCTGGTCTGTAATAACCTGTTAGATAGGAAATTAAAGAAAGGCAGATTTCAATCACAATAATGGGAACTCTCCAAGCTGCTTCTAATTCATCTCCAAGCACTAGCTTTCCATTGCTAGATTAAAAACAAGACAGCAAGGGCCAAGTGTGTAAGGGATGAAGACGCACAGCTTCTTGGAACCACGGTGATGTTAAAGATGAAACAATGGCGGGATCTTTAAGCTGACCAGAGAGCTAACGGAGATACTGATGACAGAAAATCCCTCTCTGGACTGCAGCTGAGGAAGTTACACCGTAAGCTGATTTCATTGCTCACCCTCTCCATCCCACACTGAGGTCTAGCCACGCCAAGCAGCTCCTGGTTGATGACAGCCAAGGCACTCACTGTGATGGTTACATATTTCTTCCTGGTGGCTCTGAAAGTATGGGGTGCAGTTTCTGTGAGGAGGTACACACCACCCTTTGACAAGGAACAAAGGTTATGGGGTTCTTTCTCTTTGCCCCGTGTTTTCCATGGCACACATTCTTCTTCACTCTTTCCATCTGTTCTCTCAGCCACCGCCAAGATCTCTATCTCACTCCTCTTTCCCCCTCTATCTACAATAAGATTGTCACTGAGATGATCACCATGCTTGCTCTTAAATTATTTTATCAACTAGACCGAGCCCTGCAAAGGGGGCTCTGCTCCCCACAGTGGCACTCTCACTGGGCCCAGCCTAGCATACATGAGGGTTTTCCTTTATATACTCAAGCGTTCACCTCAATCGCCATTGTGCTAATGGGTGTCTATCCGCTCAGCATGGACGGCCAGCAAGGAGGCTCTTGCCTTACCCAGCAGCAGGGCAAAGCAGTCCTCTGGGATCACTGATATGCCAGCATTTATCTAACGGCTTTGAGAGAAATATTGTCCATGAAAAACTGCCTGTAATACAAGGAAAGTCATCCTTGGATGGACAAGTCTGGCAGTATAATATACATAAGGAATGTTTTGTTTCCATCCAAACAAACTCTCTCTAAATATTAGAAATGATGCTGACATAGCAGTGTATACTTGTTAGAGAACTAACATGTACTGAAATATTAGCCCTCACAGGCTCCCCAAAAGTCTATAGATGGTTACATGAGGAATGTGTATGACTCCATTTTTCAGATTAGGAAACTGAGGCCCTGACAGGTTCAACAACTTGACTAAAATGAACAGCATAACTGAGTTTTGAACTTAGGTTCTGAACTTTCCTTATGCCCTCGGTTTTTACTGAGGGGCGAACACGGTGGTTACTATGAAGTTGTTGCTAAAGATGCTGCAGTTTAGGTACCAACTATACTTTTTTTTTTGCTTCATCTTACTTTTTTCCATGTTGTTTACTTATGTTATGTTACAAAACACATACTTCTGAATGTAAACAGAATATTTTGAGACTAAGAGTAGAATATACATAAATAAATGAAAGGACATATTAATTACAGGTCAATATCATAATGATGTGTTCATTTTTCATGGAACAATACAGAGCAGCACCATAGAATAGACTCATAGTGTGGGTCACATGTATTGATTAAAATTTTCTAGTAGCCACATGAAACGATATAGGTAAACTCACTTTAGTAGTAAATAATCTCCAACTCCGACTGTATCTTAGAACACAGTTAATATTAGGAACACTAAGATGTTCATCACTCCTTCTCCACACTAAGGTTCGAAGGATGTTGCATTCCCACCATGCATATCTCACCGCAGACCAGCTCAGTAACCACAGCTGACGGTGCAGCCATAGCAGACGGGGCACAGAGACGGATGTAAAGTTACACGCCATGCAAGCACTTGCATTGGTAGGAAGCCAAGGTGACATACTGAAGCCAGAGTTAGGACCACTACCTTGAACTGCATCTCAGGCTTCTCGTCACTGTCCATTCCTTTAAGGTAAATGCAAATTCATTTCCAAAGAGAAGAGCCATCTTCACTCTCAGTCACTTTCCCAACATACTGTCGTCTACCTTTGTCGGACACACACCCCCACACCCATTGACTCTAAGCTGGAACTTCTCAACAGTGTTCCAAGTAGGTGCTTCACTGACACTAACCAGTGTTCACTGCTCTTTGGTTCCGGACAGGCTACGGCTTATCCTACAGCTCAGGTGTACCTCTAAGGGTTAACAAGCTCTGCTAACCTGGTGCTGCTTCTGCTGGCTCTCTCTCCAGTGCTTGTGCAAATCAGAATGTCTACTGTATACACTAAATCCTATTTCTTCCCTGCGATTATTTATTATGCTCATCATGATCATCTATTCTCTCCGTGTCTCCTGCTGCTCATGTATCCGACTTATTATGTCCTCACAAGAAACACAGCAGAGGAAACTCTGTGGGTAAGAAAAGTGACAACCAAGACTCAGTTACTGAAAGTCTAACAGCACAGGTTAATGGGAATCGACAAAGAGCCCAAGAGATGAGATTATTAGCTCTCTCGGAGGCTCTTCTGCTGCCTTGCCTGAGAAACCTGCATGGGGTAGAGTCCACTCCTCTCTCTTCGCCACGATTGCCCTGGATGCTCTTTGCAGCCGCTGATGTTTTGAACCCCACCTGCAGGGCCTTATGGGACCAACTGCATGAAACTCCCACAGGGTGGAAACGCTGTTCGTCTGGGGGTGTGCTGTTTAAGGCCCTGGGTCCATTATCAACCCATACAGGAACAGAAGCTCAGCTGATTAGTGTTACCAATTACTCTGGTAGCTCAAAACTTGTTTTTGTGAAATGGAAAAGTTCTCTGTTATCTTGTTTTTCTACCTCAATTATATAAGCTCATTTTTTATCCTACCAAAATTCTACTAATAATTACTAATAATTATAAAACTACAATTCTAGTTGAAAATCATTTTGTGTTGTCGGCATATATAGAATTATTTGTGTGCAGTGAAGCAGTGGGTATCGAGAATTTATATTTTACAAAGACAGAGCAGGAGTGATAGCTGACGGGTAGCCCAGGTGTGGGAGAAAAATGGCCTCAGCAGTGGTACCCCTGGTACTGGTGACACCACTTCCAACCACTGTGATTGTTCCTATAGTACAGTCAGCATCTACCACCACCATCAAGGCAAGCTTGATTTCCACTAGAAATGCAGCCACTCTCCCTTCTGTGGGATTCCGTGCTTAAGCTTCTCTTGGGTTAAGCCTTGAAATCAAAAGGACAAGACCACTCTATGCTGAAAGATCAAAGGAGGGGAGTGTCTCTTCCAGGTGGAATTCCCCTCAACTTCTGCTCTCCTGGCTTCATTATTTTCTTCCTGAGTATGGTCAATAGTGCTTGGTTTTAATGTTCAAAACAGGTATTTTTATACTTCTTTAAAAATACACAGAAAAATTAATTGCCTGAGTTGCCTGTAGCCTCACAGGTACTTAATTTTCTTGAGAGTCCCTCAAAATATGGAGGGCATAAGTAAAAACCAGACTAGCAACAACTAATTAAATTTGAAATTCTCTCTCCTCACTCCCAAGATAATGAAGCAACAGTGTACAAGCTAAGAAGTAGGCAAGTGATCCCCCAAGTGATTTATAGTCTCTCGGGGTTCATGTTTCTTTCCTAATCTATGACACCAAGAGAAACACTGAGCTGACACCAGCGTAGAGAAATCCAGTCACTACCAGATGTGCTGGCGTGCTATGCTGAAAAGCCTGGAGTGGAGGCCCGAGCCCCATCTTGGCTCTCACTGACTTCTGCATGACCTCAGGAAAACGGAGCAAATCGGATTAAGGTAGAATTCTTCATCAAGAAAGGATGGTACTACTATCTGTCTGCCCAATCCTAGTAAAAGGGTAAAATGAGGTCGGGAAATATAAAGCCACAACACCAGCAATTTGTCATCATTAATATTATTTTTAAATACTGCCTATGTACCAAGTATAAAGAAAACATTTACAATGTTTCATACACACTCTTATTTAATGTTCACACTACTCCTATAAGAGCTGTTATCACACTCATTTCATATGAGAAAACAGAGGCAGAGATGGCTGAACAATCTATCCAGGATTTAAAAGCAAGAACTAGAAAACTAAAATTTAATCCAAGACACATGGGCTTCAGAGCTTTATGATTTCCTGCCCCCTACATAAATCTATCTTAAATTATATAACCTCAAAATAGAACAGGGAAAACTTGCCAACATGCTGTTCAAAACTTAGTTCTCTATAAAACAAAAATGTTTACTGAAAGGCAAGTGTAGTCCACAGTTCTTGCAAGTCCACTAAACTGCAGAGTTCAGCAAGAGATTGGTGGTCATTCTTACATGCATGTAGAATGTCAGCATGGTGTCAAATGCAAAATTAACCTATTACACGAGGATGTGGGAAGAGGAAACGCAATAATAGTGTGACTAACCAGGCCAACAGAACAAAACAAAAGACACCAACCAACCAAACCCAGTATAACAATAAAGAAACCTAAAATATGTCTAAACTATCACACAGATGCATTTAGATAATTATTTAATGGAATTTTTCATATGACTGTAATCTGGCAGCTAGTGACCAATGGATTTATTCAAAGCTATAACTAAAGACAGCCATAAAATAATGGCTCAATTATTTACTTATTTATTTTGGTTACAACTCTGGGTTCATCACGTTTTAGAAACACTGACCACAGATCTTGGTTAACAGTAAGAGGGATGGAAAGAAATGTACATTCTTAATCGCCCACCCGTACCTGCTACCTGCAGAAAACCTACTGGCTTCTTTTTCTTTCCATTTCTTCCCCTTGTTGGGGTTCCATCGCAAGTGTGCCCTACAATAACAGGATACAGTCATGAAGAGAAAGGTAATGTCCCCTTTTAATCTTGCCTCATGGAGAACCACTTTCCCAGAAGCAGAAGCTTACCCCAGATCCACAAACTTCTGCTTAATTTTTCCTCCTTGTACCATGAATGAACTGGATGTTCTTAGTGATTTAGGACAATTGGCACCGTCTAGGACATAGACACATAGGAAAAAGATATGTTAGCATTATATTTTAAGCCATGAATCAAAAGTCAGTGTATCTCTGAAGCTAAGGGTTTTGCCTGAATTATTCAATGTATAAAAACATGGTGTCTGTCCTGTCTAGAGGACACAGAAACTCAGCCATGGTGGCCCAGAGTCAGCGGAGCAGCAAAGTCCTACTGGAGAGACAGGGAAGAGTGAAGTGAGTGGAATAAACACTTTCATTTCCCAGCAGGTGTGTTGGTGTCTGCCTGCCTCTGGCTCCACCGCCAGGCACCCAAAGCCTATTTCTTTCTTCTACAGCTTTTTTGGTTTGGGGTTCTCCTACATTCTGAAGAAGCCCATCTGAATCTCAAATCCCAGTAGAAAATATCACCTCTTAAAGTTTGGGAGCTGAAGATAGTAACTGAATAAAACTTTCCCTTTGGTGGGTGGAAAAATGGCTCAGCAGTTAAGAGCACTGACTGACCTGGGTTCAAGTATTCAGACCCAGGGGACTCAACACCCATGGCAAAACACCAATGCACATCTTTTTTTTTTTCCTTTAAATTACCTCCTGAGATCCCCCATACTAGTGGCCCAGGGCCAGTTCTGCGACAGGGTAAGGAAGAACATGGGGAAACCTTTTTAAGCAGAAGCCAAATAGATCTTTGAAAAGTTCTTTTTAAGAGCTAGTTGGAACACAACTGTTTGGCCTACCATGAGACAGAAAATACCCAAATCTTCCAAGGACCTGTAGCTGACCAAGTTGCTACTCCATAAATGATGCTGGCACTATTCTGCAGTGTCACAACCATGAGAAAGGAGTGAATACAGCGCCAGGTTCTACCAGTGGTATGTACTCCACCTTTGATAAGGCAGATGAAACTGTAGCAAAAAGTGATGGGTGTCACATTCCAGCATCTTCAATCACCATGGATGATTGACAGGTAGTGTTTTAAATCAAATGTGCTTGTTTGTGCAAAACTTCCTTGTTAATTGCTAGTGTCTGCTTCTAGCTTTTTTTTTTTTTAAGGTCTAGAAATTCTTGCATGGAATGTATAGAAAATGGGCATACCAAGACAGTGTTCAATTAACCTTAATGGTTAATTTTGTTTATGATTTTTGTTTACTTCAGGACAAACTTCTAAACAGATACCAGTACACCTACCCATTCTTCAGGGAGGCTCCAAAGCTCTTACACTAGCACAGTACATGGACAGAGACTCCAAGCATTCCTAGCTATGAGCTTTTTGTATTGCTAGTTAATGGTTCTCAGCAGATTACAATAATTCTTTAAAATGTACATGATGAAACACAAGAATCAGATATATGCCTGTGTCAAAAATTCACTTCTTCTTCAAATGTTTATTATGAGTATTTGCATCACTATCTTCCACTAACAGAATTAAATAGCCACAGATGTGGCTCAAATCCATTTTTTAAAAATGGATCCCTTGTAAGGTGATTTTGCTAATGGATACCTAAAAAAAAAAAAAATCAGGTTTCAATTTTCTAAATAGAAGCCAAAGAAACAAATGAGACGAATTCTTCCGTTTCAATCCTAAAGAACTCTTAAGGGCCAGGACAGCACCTGTTAAAAGAGCCTCCTTAATTATTTTCTGAATTAGTGCAGCTAGAAGATGCTTTAATGAGTGGCGAGATGAACCCCGAGACAATGTCACTGAGACTCTCTGTAACCTGTTCCTGCTGTAGTCATTTGGACATCTTAGCACTAAAAGCCGGGTCCTGCCCATCACAGAGCTTGCTGCTAGGCAACCTCACATCATTATCTCACACATTTGCCAAAGCACATTTCAAGCAACACTGAAATGAAGACGCGAGATTAAAGAATAGTGCCCCTTGCCATTTAAATTAATTTTTAATGTATGGTAGAACTTTAGGTCTGCATAAAACCTAACGTGGGGTTGGTATGTGCACATATTGTGTTTGTGCATATTTATTTATTTGGTGTTAGGAAAGATGTCCATTAGGTTTTAGAAACTGCTCCTATATGACTTTTGTAACCCATAAGAAGCTCAGGCACCCACACCCAGCACTTTGACTTTAAGCTTCAGCAACTTGGCTCTTGCTTCCCAAACAAACACATCCTGGTCTCTAAATCCCAAAGTCCCTCCTGGGTGACATCAATCTGCTCAATCAGACACTTGACTCTCCCTTCTTTTATGATGGGATTTTTCAGATCCACTTCCTGACCTGGTTTCTTTCCTGGATTCTGGACTTCCTCTATTTAAAAAGAAATTAATCATATTTTCCACACAGTGTTTCTGATTTCTTATTTTCCGTTAGTGATAAAGCATGTGTTCTGAAGTCCCACGCCTGTGATGAGCTTTGGCTCACTTTCTTCTCACTATGATCTAACCACATAGGTTTCATGGCTCTTGTGTGAGTCTGCCCAGCACTGCCATGCTCCCTCTTCACAAGCATTCTCCTGAGAGTCTCCTCACTCAGTTCCCGCACGTTCATTGTCCTTTTCTATTTATTCTCTTCTGAGAATAGTCTGTGGCTCCCTAGCACAAGTATCCAAGATACTTAAATTATAGAGCCATAGAAAATAACACCTATTGGCTTTTACACTCAGTCTGGCTATCCCGGAGAAGCAACACGTTCAGTCACTGAGCTAGCCCACTGCTCTGGACTCCTGGACGTGTCTGCTCACAGGGACACTCTATCTTCCCTGCCGTCTTCTGTACAGCCCAGGTGGTGCCTGCAGTTGCATTTTCTGCGGTGACCAAGCAGAGCATCTTCTCCTCTCCATAGTAACATGGCATTTATGCACACACGCAGAGGGCTACTGCAGTATGTGAAGGAGAAGGCAACTGTGGGAAGTCTTTGCCAAGCTGGAAAGTTCCTGAAAGTGCTCTATGTCAGGCAGTGTGCCAACCATCAAAACAGAACCTTAGAATACTGACTTCTAGAAGTTGAGTAGAAAACTGATAGTGAGTCTGAATTTGCTCACTAACCTTGACTGGACAAAGCCTCACTGCTATGGAAGCCAGAGACAAAGCCTCAGTATAAAGCTGCTCCTATTGGGGAGAATTAACCTTGACTGGATAAAGCCTCACTGCTATCTAAGCCAGAGACAAAACCTCAGTATAAAGCTACTCCTACTGGGGAGAAAGGAGGCATTTTCATGACCTTCATGGCCACAGAAGCCTGTTCTTCAACCCCTTCTGCTAACCTAACTGCCGCTCAGTTACAGGTAAACCACTGAGGCGGTGGTTATGGGATCTCTCTGTCTCCATTCATACTGATGAGGGAAAAGGATGGCATGCAAACGGAGACACCAACACATTTGGAGAACTTCTAATTCTAGTAGGGTGGCCAGAGGCTATCATTAGGGTTTCATTAAAACACAGTGATAGATTAGCCATCTTTACAACTAACTCAATAGACGAAAAGTGATGGTGTAAGACTTCTTTAAAAGCCAGGCAGATGGCAACCAGTGACATAGCCATATCCAGCGCTCACGACACAGTGCTGAGCAGGATGAAGCACACTTGTAGGCCAGGCATCAGGAAGATTCCCCCATCCACATGGGCAAAAGAGTAAATAGTTTATGTTGGAAAGAGGTTCAGTTTCTCATTCAATCACCCTGCTCTGCCAAGATAGCTTGAAGGGATGCTTATGTGGCAGAAAAAGTATGGCCACATTCTAGGAACACTTCCCTTCCAAACAGGCGGCTGTTGGGTTTGGCTGGTGAACCCCATCCAGATGACTGTATTACTTGTCTGGAGAGGCAAACTTAGTAATTTGTCTAGCAATGTTCAAGCATTGCTTATTTGTCACGCTCTTTCTGAAGAACCAAGAAGAACAAGGATAGTAAGCTAAGAGAGAAAACGTTGGTTCACACTAACCACCAAGTGAGTCACTGTACACAAAGGAGTGAACTCAGAAGCAACTGTGAAAATCACTGTGGAATGGGGTGGCTGGCCCAAGGCCAAATTAAGGAGGTGAGATTTATGTTGGGCACAGTGTTAGCCAAGAACATAAACATGAGGTCAAATTTGTACCTGGGAGGCTCACAAAGCCCCTTTGAGTAAGCTCCCTCACTGGAAAGTCAGTGAGTGCTGAGGATACCAGAGATTGGCCACACCAGAATTTTCACGTCTGGCTTACAGTAAAGAATCTGTGTCTCACAGAGCGAGGAATGCAAGGCATTATAGAGCCTTATTCTCTGGAGTTCTGATTCAGTGAGGGAGGATTCCACTTTGTTAACATTGGTTGGACGCACTGCAGCAATATGATCAAAAGGGAGCAATGGGATTTCCCTACTGTTTGAATGGTGCTTAGGTCTGTTTGTTGGGAACTGGGTGGGAGAACCCTGAGGAATGTGAGAAGCTTTAGTGAAAGGGGCAGGCCATCCGCACATGAATGGCACATCCTGTGTGCACAGCCAGTTAATGTGATTCTAATTTTATGCTCACTGAGTAACTTTGTGATTTATGAATCCACCACCAAGGAGAAAATGGAATGAATGAAGGCTAGTGGTTATTATGTCAGCTGATCCATCCAAAATAAGCTAGAAAATTACTGTTTTGGTACAGCATGTTTTTAAAGATCTTAGCAGCATGAGCCAGCACCCTGTGCTTGATTAGATGTGTGTATATTGCTGGAATTGGGGACATAGAAAACTGACGACCAGAACCCTAGTTCTTCAGAGCACTGTCTGACAGTCAGTGGCTGAGATGTCTCTGGCATCCTTCAAGGTGTGGAGAAATTGAGAGTAGAATGCCAAGGAAGCAAAGTGCTTTCCGAAATGCTGACTGTGGCGTGGCAAGGGGTCCCAGAGAGGACAAGTCTGTCTGGGGGGCACAGACAGAACGAACACGAACATCAGAAACACACGCAGGGAGAAGATGAAGACACGGCCTTTGGTATGCAGCTCCCTGAAGGAAGTGGTGCAATACTGACAGCCACTGAAGACACACCTGGATACAGATTAGGTGCTCAGCAAGTGTGCAATGGACACGGGAATAAATGTGAATGAACATGAAGGCAGAGGAAACTCTAGACTACAAACTTTAACAAGAAAAAGAGAGGATGAAGTGCCAACACCACTTTTCCGTTAGTATGTGAGGTTAATCTCATTATCAACCTGACTATATCTGGTAACAGGTTTGTGGGGTATTGCTGGGACAGACCAGACCATGGTTTTTTTTTTGGTGAGGATTGTGGAAGGACTTGGAAATTTTGGGCTAGAAAAAGCCACTGAGTGTTAAAAGCTCTGTGGGTTGATCTATAGGAGCCTGGAAGGTAATGCTGGGAGCAACCAGTAAGCAAGCAGCACTCTGTACAGCAGCTGTATTGTTCCTGCCATAGATTCGTGCCCCTCTCTCTTGCCTTGACTTCTCTGGACAAGACACTGTTAACTGAAAGTAGAAGAGGAAATGAACCCCTTTCCCCTCATGTTGCTTTTGGTCATGGTATTTGTATTATAGCACTAGAAACCATGATTGAGACAGTAGGTTACAACAGTCATACTTGTCCATTTTCAAGGCTGGCATTTGAAAACTGTTCAATGAACTGCTCTGTTCAGTTACGCAGAAGTATGGCCAGCCCAGGAGAACTGAAGAAGGGAAAAACCCAAGATCTTGGTCTCTGGAGAAGAAAGGACCTGTGTCTTGCTTTTTAGTCCTGGTTAATTCCAAAGCAGACACAGATGCGAACAAGGCAGCTCTGCTCTGTGGAAACGGAGAGGCCCTCAGACCGCTCCCAATTGCTGCTTAGGAGCCCACGGGGCACCCTTCCCATCTCTAAATGACTCCTCTGCCAACTTCAAAACTGCATCAATCAGAAGAAAAGGGCAGCATGAATTCAGATAAAACTGAGCTTTTAAAAGTCTCTGTGATTTTTCCTAGGTCAGAGGTCCACTGTCTGATCATCATGCCTTTGGATAGCACGTCGTGGAGCGAGGATGCACTCGGCAGTAGGATGCTCAGCTAGCATCTGCAAAGCTCTGAGTTCAATCTCCAGCACTTCAAATAACCAAACAAAATAAGTCGAACAACAACATCGACTCACACAATGGGACTCCAAAGAAAGAGTTTCTGCTTTGGCCTTCTCCCAACAACAGTCTGCACGCTTAGGAGATGGTGGAGCGCTAACTGCAAGCCTATCTCTATAAAGGCACTATCATAACCATGCTTTAATTAATCAAAGTTCTTTTCAACGTAAGCCAACTTCACAGTCAAGCTGTTCACCAGCCTGACTACCATGTTGGATTGTGTGGTGAGCCTGACCGAATTCTCTTGCCTCCTCTAGAGACCTATGCTCTATGTTTGCCTCCCAGGCTGCTTCTGAAGAGCTGTGTGCAGGGCTGTCTTTGGAAGACAACTGACAGGCCCCAGCAAGGATGCTCAGGAGAACGCCAATGCTGACCCCAAGTCACAAAGCACCATGGGTCAGCTGATTTCTGTGTTCACAAGCGTCTGTAAGAAGCTTGTATTTTATAATCTGGCAGACAACAATGCATGAGGACCTTTGAAGGCGCAGTGTTATGCAGTTGTACCTGCAGTGAGTGAGTCTGGTGCCTTCCACAGCTCATGCAGTCTGGCAGACTCTTCCCAGCTCGTCTGAGATCTGGCGACTCTGGCAGTTAATTCAAAGGGTCACCTCTCTGATCACTAGTGAAGTTGTTCTTTTCATAACTTACAAACCAATGCTATTCTTTTTTTCATGGAACTGAGAGTCACTTTTTACTTCTTAAAAAGAATCAGTTCTTCGGAGTTATTTGATTATTAAAAGACCACCCATTAACTTTGTATTTTTTTTTTTGACAGCTAAAATCCAGAATACTTATGGCATGGGCAGAGAATATCAGTAAAAGTGAACAGAAAAGCCTGTGGTTGCTCCTGCCTCTGCTGCAGTGTGTAGAACCGAGGTCCCTCACACTCTTCCTACTACCACCTCCTGACCCCTCCTTCCAGGGAGCAGACTTTGTCCTTCCCGTTTGTAAACAGAAATTCTGTCTACACTTCTAAATAATCTACCAACTTTGCTCTTTACAAATATAATTGGATAGCTCTTGTAATCTGGCCCTGTTGATATCTTCTCCTGGAGATCTGCAGTTATAAAGATAACTTTAGTTATAGTTTAGTTTGCTGATTTCCTGCTGCATGGGTTCAATACATAAATTCACAGCAATCATTTATCCATTTTACCAGCTTTGTTATCACACACCAGGGCTGCCATGATTATTTTTCCCTATGTGTGTGCATTATGAGAGTATGTGTATATGTCTGTGTGCATGTTATGAGAGTATGTGTGTATGCCTGTGTGTTATGAGACTATGAGTGTATGTTTGTGTGTATACTTTGTGAGTGTGTATACTTATCTCTGTGTGTTTACTTATGTGAGTGTGTATACACATCTGTGTATACTCATGTGTGTATACTTATCTCTGTGTGTTTACTTATGTGAGTGTGTATACACATCTGTGTGTGTGCTTATGTGAGCTGCATGCATGTCTGTGTGTGTTTATGTGAGTGTATATGCATATTGTGTGTTTATGTGAGTGTGTATGCATGTCTGTATGTGTGCTTATGTGAGTGTGTGCACATGTGGAGGCTAGAAACCAATATCAGGCATCTTTCTTTAGTTCCTTTCCACCTTCTTTTTGCGACAGTATGGGTCGCTGACTTGGCTAGATGGGCTGCCAGTGAGTTCCACAGATCTGCTGTATTCACTGACCCTTTCTATCCCCCAACTCTGATATTATAGATGTAAACCACCATGCCCAGCTTTTTCCTTGTTGCCGGGGATCCAAACCTGAGTCCATATGCTTTGGTTGTAAGTATTTTATCAATTGAGCAATCTTTCCAGTCTCTGCTATGAATACCTTTACATATAATTCTTAATAGACAGATACAGGATTTATATATA